TTATTTCAATAATTTTATTGTGATATTATGCATTCTTTTAATATATTATTTATCTAAATATATTATATAAATAATCAAGTAATATCTAATAAGAGATAGCAATAAAAAATAAAATTATATTACATTGATAATATATTAATAATTATATGTATTATGTTTTTATAAAATTTATGTAATTTTTTTTTAATTAAGTAATTATATTATTATTATTTATGACTTATATAAATTTAATAAATTATAATAGATAATTTTTTATATTATTCATTTGTAAAGAATAGTTTTACATCTATTTTATTAAAAAGAGTATAATCATATATTCTAATATAAAACCATATAGCTTATTAGAATAATAAATATATTTTTTTGTAATAAATCTAAAAATTTATAAATATACTATGAAAATCAAAATTCTCTTTTAATAATATTAATATTAATATTAATGCTTAAATTAGAATTAATTAATTATTATTTTATTCTTTTTAATTAATAATCTCATATACATATATATAGATAGATATACCTCTAATTTAGATTTATATAAAAAATTTATTATTACAAATATAATTATAACATTGATGGATTTATTTCTTTATTGTTTTTGCAAGTATTAGAAGAAATTTAGAATTTTTGAATAAAAAAATTACAAAATTTTTTTTTGATATAGCACAAATATCTAAAAGAAAACTTTTTATATTGTATAAATTTTAAAAGAGAAATAATTACAATCCTAGAAAGATTTTATTTGATGCAAAAAACACAATCAATATTTTAAGTTTTGACATTTGAAAGACATTACAATTTTCATGCTACTTATAATGTACATTTAAAATTATCATATTTAAATAATAAATTAATATTATAAATTTTTATATATTTTAAAATATTAAGATGAATTTTATAAAATAATATTTTAATCTTCCTATTTAAATAGGTGAATGGTAAAGCAAATTAATCAACAAAGAAATACAATACTTATATTTGGAGCACCAAAAATATTTACAATGAATCCTGATTCTAGAACATCTTTGGTTAAAAGTGAAGTTGCCATAATTTTATATCTAAAATGGATCGCAAATGAACTTAATTTTTACTAAAATGATCCATCCATTATCACAATTTTACACATAAATAGTACAAATCTCTTTCATCATTAAGATTATAATCTATATTCAAATAAAAATAATCATCATTCTAGATATAATTCTCAATGATTCTCAACAGTTTCAAATAGCTAGTAATAACATCTTTCCATTATTATTTTGCTACTTATCCTATAATTATGTGTCTACTGAATTTATTTCTTCATCTTATTCTAGTATATACTCTTTTTCAAATTATGTGTAGTGGATAGAGAAGAGAAAATTTTATATTCTATAATTTTTTTGTATTTTATAATAAAAAATGAGGGATATATGTGTGCACCATTACAGAGATATTTTGAAAGTAAAGAAGAAATGAAACGTAGTACTGATGAATTTATGCACAATCAAGGCTATATCATATGTAAATGGCACTTTGACAAAGATTGCAATGATTATAAGTATAAGAAAAGAGAAGTTTATTGTAATAAAAAAAAATTATACTTGCAAACAAAATAGTACAAGTTATTGTATATGATATCTATTTGTGTTACATACTCATCATTTGCATAATAATACTCAATGACATTTGATTGTTTGAAATACTCTTTATAATTATGGAACTACTTCTTTTCTTTTAGGCCATCTATTTGCTTGCTATTTACAACAAGCAAAAAAAAAAACTAACTTTATAATTACTAGTTGCAAGCATCCTACTAAAAAAATATTGTTGCCTTATATAAGAGTGATATTAATAGCAAAGTCATTGCTCAAATTGTTTACAATGAGTGACAAAAATTATATTGCATTACACTTATTAGTCAATCACCTATTATATGTCTTACGAAAACTTTACTAATAGCTAATTACCATTTTACTTATTGTTGTGATCAAGAAGATAAAGTTACTTCTTTATTTTTTGCACATTCCAACTATATTCAACTTACAAAAAGGTGTCATTTTTCCATTGTCGTAGATTGCACATACAAAACAAATAGATTTAGGATGCCAATGCTACATATTATAGGAATGACAAGTTTCAATACCTCATTTATTATTGGTGTTGCTTTTTTTTCAAGAGAAAATAGAATCCTTCTTTTCATGGATATTAATCCAACTTCAGGAAGTATATGGAGAAATTTGATCCATTTGCATAAGTATTGGGAGGGATTTAGCATTAATAAATGTCATTGAATTAATATTTTCTACTTCAAATATATTACCTTGTATTTGGCATATATATAAAAAATATATCAGCAAATTACAAAAAATACTTTTTACACAAATTAGAGTTAGGATTGTCTTCATTCCTTGTAGATTGGACCACTAAGATTAATGCATGTTCTATAGAGTTTTTTGATTTGGAATAATTTAATCTTTGTAATAAGTACATTCCTATTGTTGCTCATGCAGCTATTAAGCACTTAAAAGATATTTGGATACTATACAAAAAAATATATATTAAATCTTGGATAAATAATCTACTTTATCTCAAAAGTGTTATCACATCACAAGTAGAAGGTTAACATTTAGTATTGAAATCTTATTTAAAAGTTTCTTCCAAAGATCTTAAAGAAGTTCAAATTCCTCTTTTACTTTTTTGAGAAAACAACAAGAGAATTGAAGGCTCAAAGAAGCTTAAAACAAAGCCATATTATTCATCAATACAATATTGGTTTCTTCACCAATGTTATGAAACATGTTTCATTACATGCTCTTAATCTTGTCCTTAAGAAATATAAATAATCAAGAGCAAAAATTGATGAACCCAATTTCTCGTGCACAAGGACAATGACAAACACATTAGCTCTATCATGTAAGCATTAAATAAAAGTTTTATTGAGAAGAGGAGATGTTTTATTAATTAGTGATTTTCATCATCAATACTACTTAGTAAATACTCTTGATTAATTTATTCCAATAGCACCTATAGTTCCATTGTCTTTTGATAGTTTATGTCTACTTTATGCTACTGTTAGTCAAACTTTTGATGTTTTATTTCTTCACTAACAAGAAAATCTACATAAAAGTTTGGTTGAACTTTCAACAATAATGGAAAATCTATAGGCGAGTCGCCCAAAGAAAAGACCATAAGGAGTAAAAAATAGTACCAAAAGTGACATGTATACAGAAATATCAACACAACAATTTGCATGACAATTTGAGTCTATACAAGCAAGAACAATGAGGCCCTTTTGCAACAACTGCATATCAATGAAACATAATATCTACACATGTTCCACAAGAATAGCTTTTTCTTCAAAAAATTTTACAAATAATATACAAATAGAGTAGAATTCAACTATATGCTCTCACAACTATTTTGAAAAATTATTATATATAGCCATTTGAAAAATTATAGATGGTTATTACTTCAAGTGATATTAATTATTAATTGATTTCATTCTAACAAAGTAAAAATGATGTATCTAATGTCATTTTTTATTTAACATTTATTAACATTTCAAAACAATGTTTACATCCAAATTTTATTTAAGTGATATTTGAATTTTATTTTAAAAAATAATTAATTTAAATGAGTTTGGTCACATAGCAAGATCATTTGATTTCAATTGCAATTGTGGTAAAAGTAAAAAAATGGTCTATTGAAAAACACAACTTGATCCTTGATGAGCTTTGCGATGTCATCCAATACAGAAGACCTTTTGATGAACAACATACACACATATCAATGGCAAAGCTAACCTTCGTGTCTACAAAAAAGCTCTCATTGCTCTCCATCACACACCACCCAAAATCTTACATCTCTATATTATTAATAATTGACAAAGACCCCACAACCATCCATGCATTCTTCATCCAAGATTTAAAACATCAAATTCATAGTCCTAAAATGTCAAAAGAAGATCCTACTTTGCACCTTCCAATGAACAATATATAAATTAATTTACAAACATGTCCAAAATTGAACTTTCTTCTCCTCTTCTTTTCAAATAAACAAACATATATATATATATATATATATATATATTATACTCAATTCCTAAACTAAATATATAAGAATAAACGGATGCAATTGATAATTAAACAACATTGATGAGGGTTATAAAATAAGTCTTCTATTCTATACATGAGATATAAGGCAATCAACTACTACCCAGTCAACCTCTAAGGATGTATATTATTATTAAAGGAAGCTCACTAATCAGCACATGGGTGTTGTAAAAAAAACACCTATTGTTACTCCTATTGGTCTATGAATCACAACATTAATTATACATTAGCTCTTTGAGTCGATTTTGACAACAATTGGCATGCCTCAAGCTCTCATTGACCACATACAAACAATAGGAGGCTTCCAAAAACTAGTCTTTGCAACAATCATTGAAGAAGTTTTTGCAACATACTTTCATGATTGCATTGAAGTATGAAGGTGGCAAGGAAGCCATGTGGAGAGTGGAGGGCAACAAGGAAGAAAAGGCCAACCTAATCTTCCTCCCAATAGAGAGCAGGGCAATGAGATAAGCCTATGGCAAATCCCTTCCTCTTTTAAACAAATAATTAGGGTTTTGTAATTTAGCATTACCACAACTATCATTGTTGATGGCAGCAATGAAGATTAGATTATCATGATTATAGATGAATGTGCTTTCTTTTCATTGGTTGCAAATCCAATGATAGAGAAATGCATCTAGATGCAACTATTTGTATTTGATAGCACTACCTCTAAATCAATCTAAAAGTAGAAATTTGTCTTGACAAATCACCTAATGAATTGCTCCTTAAAAAGGATTAAAATTGAATATCTAAAAGTAGAAATTAGTTTTGACAAATCAGCTACTGAATTGCTCCTTAAAAAGGATTGAAGTTGAATATGCTTGTGAGGGGGTTGGAGCAATTAATTTGGCAGGTGATAACCTAAGGACAAAACATTACAGAAGGGATGCTGCACTTGCTGACATCTTTGAACAATCTTTGACGTCAAGGATTTTGTTTAAATCCTTAACGGATTAGGAGCATTTGAAGTGTGCCACTTGATACAAACAAATGAATGGAGAAGAACAAAGTTGATGTTTCTTCGTAAGAAAAAAATGATCATTAGAAAATCCTCTTTTCAACAAAGAAAATCATGTTAAAGTGATCATTTATTCCGACATTTTACGACGCCAAACTCTTTGAGGCAATTTCGAAAACATTGTCTGACAGACCATCCTGGCTCGTAATCCGCTCCAATTGTGCCTGGAAATGTCCCCATTTTAAGTGATCGTGAGTACTGAGTACATACATAATAAGAAATGTAAATTGAATATTAAGGATGCGCGCAAGACATACAAACAGAGTCGCGTTTTAATAATTCTAAACTACATCAGAGCATATTGATTCAAGTCAACAAAAACTTACTTTGGCCAATGCCTGCCTGCCTTCATCAAACCTCCGCCATCTGGAGAAAGCCGACACCATGCGTGACGCAACCTGAACCCATCGTAATGGACCAAATTTAGAAGAATAGACCAAATATCTGAAAATACGTAACATCTGGATGAACTCAAGTCATTACTTAAGTCACTAACAATGTGATGGCTTGTCACCCTGAAGGCACATAATTTGTACTCGATCGAAATAAGAAGACAAGAATAGGATGAAGAAACTGCAGAAGGGCTGTAGAGAAATAGCTTCGAATATACTGCGCTATTCGAATGATTCAAGCCAATTCAACGGCGGTATGATTTACAAAACCAACCTGGGGATTCAGCTTATCCAACTGAAGGACAACGTCAGCCAAAAACGTGTACCCTGAACCGTCTTTAGCATGAAAATTTACAGCGGACGCGCAGAAACCACCAATCAAGGAATAGACCTGTGCAAAAAAAGAGGAGTTAGATACCAGAATTTTGAACTGAAATTAATTATGAAGGCTCGTGACTATGTTAATAGAAACAGAAAGAAAACATCCACAAGACATGCCTTGTTTGGATTCCGGATGTCAAAAGCAGGGTGCTCCATCAAACCCCGCACATTCTCTACATTTCCTGGGATATTTGACATGGCTTGCAAAGCTAGCCATTTGTTCATGACCTGTTCATTTCAAGTAAGTTAGGTACCCCGAGTCGTATTAAGACAAATAAAATTTGAACTAGCTGTTTAGAAATACTTTGCAAGGATCATTTTAAAAAAAAAATTAAAATAAAATTGAGCCAAGCCAATGCAAAGTTTCCGCAATATAATTACAGTTAAAAATTAAAAATTACCAAAGTCTCATCCTTCCATTGTTCGTAGAACTCTGCCAGTGCCTTAGACCGTGCATCACCAGAATTCTGGCAAATAGCAGCCAAGGCAGATACTTGATCAGTCATGTTTGTGGCATTCTTGTTTTCGTTCACAGCCAGGTCTATAATCTCAGGTTCGTTCAACATCGCCAAGTATCCTGCACACAACATGCAAAAGTTTCACAATGATTTCATTCCCGTGGGTGATATATTATTCCAAATATTCAAGGTCGAGTACCAAATAAATGACGAATATACTATAGATATCAGTATCCATCACCTCTTGGAAGACAATATTTCCCAGACTTGCAAAGGCTGATTTTGTTAATAGTACAGAAACAACAAAGTTAGTAAAATAATCGATTTCGTGCCATACCCAAAGCAACATTCTTTAAAGCACGCTGTGCCCTGTGCACATGGCTTGGATCGTAAGTAGCTGAACTTCTGTTTGCCTCCACCTGAATTTACAATGCGTAAACTTTTAAGTCGAAAGATCTTTCTGAACCGCTTTAACAACGATAACACTTGGTTCAAATTAAGAGGAAATATACACAAAACAACGAGATATTTAATACGTGCTTCGGGGATGGACACTTGAATATCGTAATTAGTATTGAGAAATATTGGGGACAGTTAGACACAAGTGCAGGAGGAAGTGCACAGAACCCTATAACTACCGATGGAATCTTTTGAAGCTTTCGTGACGGAATACTTTGACACATAACATGCCAAAACCACACCACCTACAGGATATGTACAGTGACCTCTTTTTCCTTTTTCCACTTTGGTCGACTGTTATCTTTGTCCTCTGCCTGACACGTCACTGCCTGCAAACTTAACTCTTCTACGACTTCCAAGAGTTGTGGTTGAATAATATGAACAATCTTTCAGGGACAAGAGTTCATATAGAGACCTCATTCATTATTATATATATTGTCCTTGTGTTTTGACAATGCTTTACATCCACAGTAAGGTTGAAAACCTAAATTATCCTTCGAAGAAAGTTTCACATACCATTTTAAGTAGGACATCGCGCATATTAGTAGCAATCTCCATAATGATAAACCGTCTCACATTATGTATGGCATCAGGATCAGCCACATCCATCAGGTCCGCAATCTCACTTTCTGTCGGTAATGTAAGGCATTTTGCCACGAATTCCTGGAAACAGGACTCACATAGGGAACTTTTAAGCAAAATGCTGCTAAATCCTTTTCTGTTAGACAATCCCATACTCGTAGCCCAAAAGGTTTTTTTTCTTTGTTTTTTGATTTTGGTTTTGATTTTGGATGTAAAGATTAAACATGTTATATTCACAGTAATCAGAAATTTATTCTATACCTTGTCAAGTGACGAATCCATAACAGTGCTTCGCATGCCTTCAATAAAAGCACTGTCTACGCTAAGATCCTCTCCTTTCTGCTGCGCAGAGATCAGGTCCAGCATAAGCTTGCGACTTAGAGTCTGGCCAGCTTCCCACCTGCACTCATTACAACCACAATTGAGGAATCCGACCGCCAATTGGTTGTTTGTGTGTACATACAATTCTGAAATGAAAACGAAACTGGAGTAGGAGAGACAAATTATTAATTCTTACCTGTTGAATTGATCGGAATCATGAGCCAGGAGAAAGAAAAGGTCATCGTTTGTAACATCAGACACAAGGCGAACTGGTGCACTGAAATTACGCAGCAGTGACGGAACTGGCTTCTCCGTGATATTCACAAATGTAAATTCTTGCTCAGCCTGCGATCCCAACATTCACAGTGAGAAAGCTACAATGTCGCCTATTGCAGTTTTAAAAGAAAGCGCTCGATTGAGTGAGGAACAAGCAAGCTACTGTACACTGTAATGTCTGGACTGTTATACCCTAGAATAATGGAGTTAAATCTCAGCTTGTGCTGTACCTTGTCAACATGCAGTACTGCAGTGGTCGTGTAGTCACCATCTACACTAGTCAAGTTGTGCAGGGAGGTTCCATCTTTCACAGAAGTAAGACGCATGTCGTGCCCGTGTGAATCAAGCAACCCTACAGCCAAAGGTAGAAGCATTGGTTCCTTCTTTAATTGTCCTGGGGTGGGGGGAACTTCTTGCCTGCACAATTAAAAACTTAACTTAATAAATCCTTCACTAGAGTAATAAATGATACTATATTATAAAACCTTAGAACTCAAGATTTATCACCTAAATCTAAGACTTTGATTTCATGAAATAATACAACCTTCATCAAAGATTAAAAATATGACCGTGGTCGCAGAAGCACGTACTTGCACTTGATGGTGAATGTTTGTGCACCAGCGTCGTATGAGGTGGTCACAGTCAGAGTTGGAGTTCCCGCTTGGGCGTACCTGGAAATCCACAAGAACTCAGTCATATCAACTCACCAACGATAATCATTTAATATGTATCTAATATGCCATAATATTTTTATAAAGTAATACCATCTCTAACAATGATGGTGACGAGCTGCTACGATACTAGACCAAACTGCAACCGGGATAAAATGACATGACAGAAACTTTTCTATCACAATAGAGTGAAGTGCCAGATTTACCAAAGGGGAAATGTCGGGAATTTAACATTATTGGCATCGAACATAGCAGCCAGGAACTCCTCACAAGTGACAGCCTGACCGTCGTGCCTTTGAAAATACAAGTCCATACCCTGAAACCTCAGTGGATATCGAAATCTTAATATCTCGTACGAAAGATAGGAAGTACAGAACGGAAAATGCTAAGTATTAAAAACATCCTAGAAATGTGGAGCAACAAACACAAATGCCTAGTCTTGAAGGCGAATAAATTCAAACCTTTCTAAAGCCGGCATTTCCTAGTAGCGTCTGGTACATTCGTACAACCTCAGCACCCTGCGCTCAAAAACTATCATTTTAATACTGGGAATATTCAGAAGCAGGAAATTTAAATATAGATTGTGTGAACTGCACGACACTCAAAGAGAATTATAGCACAGGCCATACCTTCTCATAAACCTGCAGTACATCAAGCGCCATAGCCGCGACCGAAGTATCATGAAAATAACAAAGCGATTAGTCAGTACCTTGCTGAAAACCTGCATCTCCTTGTGAAATGACATGACCTCATCAGTTACAACATGCGAATGACAGCCATTGTTCGATGTCCATTCTAAGGTCTGATGAAAATGCTCCGGTAAAACCAACCAACCAACCCAGAAAAGTAAAATTTGTCGAGGGCATGATTCTAAACACTTACAGTGACTGCAGTGTTGAAGCGAAAATTTTCCGCGAGAGCAAACCCAGTCACGACAAAAGGCAAGTTAGAATAGCTTCACAAGGATATCTACTTTAGAATTATGTTCAAAGAAACGAAAATCATTAACAGACTTCATTTCCGAAATGTGAATGCGTTGACCTCAAATGCTCACCTGTATAGAAATTATCCATTTTGATGTAAGAATGAGGCCGTACTGGATGTGCCATTGGACCAGCATCCTGTTGAAGGTGCAGAGACAAGCTCCTTAAATTGACATTCTCGATAAACTGAATCACTACAGTTAAATAACAACTCCATATACAACAAACTTTTAAAGAAATACTAAAAGATAACCACATCTTATCATGTACTTTAACCATCGAAGGGAAAGGTGCAACTCTAATCAAGTGAATTCGAGCATTGATAAACAGACATATTCCAAAGACCAAGAAAATTAGGCCAAAGTAGAACCTGAGAAAATTGCGCAGTCCTTAAACGACCCACATCAGCAATGCGTTTTACTCCACGACTACCCATATCAGATGAAAATTCCTGAACCAAAGAGCTGTTTGAGAAAAGTTGACATTGGAATCTACTAAATGACTAGAGGACCCCTAGCAATTATGACAAATCGACAATTACGTGAGGTTTTTGAGATAGTTCAGTGCAGTTTTACTCTGTATAATTCAATTTTAATTTTTTATAAGAATTTTAACTTTTAAAATAGTGTACAGAACAGTACTCAAGTTTGCTTTGAACTTGAATAAAGAATATGAGTGTAAGAGGTCCTAACCTGATCTCTGAAAACAGTAAGTCCCTCCTTCAAACTAAGCTGAAACCAATCCCTACATGTCACTCTGCCCAAGTCCAGAAAGAAAAGTTATAAGAACTCTATCGTAAAGTGCTTCACAGAACGTTAAAAGGATCAGAACATACCAATACAATGATATTATAGTTCAAATACATGTGTACAGATCCACGACCTACAGTAGGAAAATGAGGTGTAATGTAACTACACCAATTGACAATAGACATGTCGAAAAAATCAAAAAGGCATACCGGTTGCCAGTCCAATTGTGAAAATACTGCGTGCCCATTACAGATTGGATGCAGACAACACACCAAGTGGACATGTCAGCAACTAAAAAGGAACCAAAAAGCAAAAAATAAAAAATAAAAAATAAAACAAAAACAAAAACAAAAACAACAACAACAACAACAACAACAACAACAACAACAACAACAACAACAACAACAACAAGCAAACAAACAAACAAACAAACAAACAAAAACAAAAATAAATAATCGATGCAAAAAAACTTACAAGGTTTCAACTCTTTAAGTAGCCAGTTAGCAAAACAGAAACAAGGCAGAACGATTTACCTCGTGGCCAATAACTCCCTCAATAGCAGCGTAATCTGCATCTGTAGCTGTCTCAGGAGATGCTAATACCAACCTAGAATTAAAAATCTGTACAAGCATACATCACAGGAAAGATAGATTATGTATCTCTTAAATGCACAACTTCCTGAGCATCACCTCTATATACAAAACTCAACCCAGCTGTTTCAGTGCCAATCTACAAGAGATGAATACCACCAGAGCCAAGTAGACAATCGGTAATGTTAGGGGGTAGAAGTACTCTACACACATGCGACATTCTGGGCGTACACTACCTAAGTAATAATAAAATTGGAGAACGAAAACAACACAATTCACTTGTATTCAGAAAGCAAACTCACATTTAAGCTCTTATTCTCCATAGCACCCCTGTCACACATCATCCATTCCCACATCAATGCAAAATTCTTATAAGAATCACCGCCAGTTGCGATTGATGTATCACTCACGCTGGTTACCTTTTCCAACATAGAATTACTAACATATCACTGGAAATTTAGATACTACCACAACACGACGCTGGCAATGAGTACGAACTGCAAGTGCTTACATGTTGAAATCCGGCACAGCAACAATGTTGAAGAGGTCTAGGTCATATTCCAAACCAAATACCTGCTTGATAATGTAACAAAATTAGAGCTGACTCGTCTACTGATGATAACAAAACTAAGTGGATCTCTGCAAATTCCAGCATCATTTCCAGTTTTCTGAGCAAACGACTGAACAAAAGGGCAAAAATTCTTCAGCGTGCAGGTACAAAATCCAACCTATTACAAGAGACAAAGTCCAAGTCACATACTTACATAATACCAGACTACTGTACTCATGTTCATGTTCACATAGAACTCAGGAATTGGTGTGAAGTTGCAGTACGCCAAAAATCATTTGATAAATAATCAAAGGAATCCTACCTCTTCATCCCACTTCATAGCCAGTTGCAAAGATTTCATTGCGTGAACGGTCTTAGGAATATCTTGCGGAGGAGTCCAGATTCTAAGAGCCACTTTGCGCCCCGACATTGTGGTAAATGAGTCATCACGACTCACAAGCTGGCCAGCTACAAGTGCAAACAAGTAGCAAGGCTTTGTCCAGGGATCATCCCACACTGCGAAATGCTTGCCATCCTGCAACCCAGCAGTATGTTCGTCAACTTCTAATGACTACACTGTCCCACATCATCGAAGAGAGACATGCACTTTGTGGCCTTTCTGTGTTATCACATGATTAATTACCCAAAATGTTTCGCATTCTCAAACTTAAAGCAGCTGATCTCACATCAGAATGCTGGAACAAAGTCGATTAATTCCAGTATTGAATTCTATTTTGAGCTCATAAGCAAGCAGAAATGAATTTGTGTAATAAGTAGGGCACTTAGTACTAATCTTTCACTCTTGTAGCAATACATGGTGATAGAGAAACTTACAGCCAAATCACCCTCATCAACCAAGTTGCCGTTGCTTAACAACACTGGGTAAAGAGTTTTATCTGCCTCAATACGTGTTGTGAACTTAGACATCACATCTGGGCGATCCTGCATCGATAAAACTGAGAATCGGTTATCTATCTGTCTATATAGATACATGTCTTTTATTCAAGACATACCCAACAACCATATAATCTTAAAGTGAAGATCTGTCATACCTGGAAGTAAGTGATCTTACGGAAGCCCTCTGCTTCACATTGAGTGCAGAAATTGCCAGATGACTTATACAATCCTTCCAGAGAAGTATTATTTTGTGGCTCAATTTCCGTGACAATTTCCATGTCGAAAGGGCTGGTGGGCAACGATGTAATATTCAATTGCCGAGAATTAAACTTGTAACTACCCTCCTGCAAGACATAACGTCAAGTGCTTTTAACGTAAGTAGAGAACAGACACGATAGAAGAGCCGACCGACAGAGGAACCCAGATCTCAGACTACAATGAGGTCATTCAACCAGCACGCGCGGGAGAGAGAGCACACGGCCAAAAAGTACAATAAACTAGACTGAATACTGCACAGTCAGAAAACAATATGTAGGACACCAAAACAACATACCGGGACAGGCGAACCATTGATATTTAGAGTAACCAAGTTCAACCTCTCTCCATCGAGTATCAATGGTGCACCGTCTGTAAACAGGGACAAACAATGGAGTGTCAAACGTCAAGCGTGGTAGTACTTATAACAGAGGGACATCCAAACTCTACTGATAAATCGCCAGTTGTGAATGAACAAAAAAATCAAGCCACTGAACTACTACAATATCAAGAAAAACAGTTTCATCTTCTCAGTAAATATGCACAAAAAAACTGCTTTTACGAAAGATGAACACAACAAAACCTTGGAAATCAATATTTGCCTGCTTGAGATGTCCCTGTATGTGAGATTATTACCAGAAGACCTGGGAAGGACACGTATGTTGGACGTCACTAGAGTCTTCTCTTCTCCCAACACAAACTTTAAATTTACCTGCAGAATGGTGGCACGACCCCTAGTTATAACAACACATACAACTCATATGCCTATAGCAGCTCTCGCACAATTGATTTGGCTTCATCGATGATATTTTAGCTCACGATGGCATTATCTTCCTGGTAATAAGGTAAACATGCGCACCTATATGAAGGCATAGCTTTCGCAAACTATTCGATCAGCCCTAACGAACACTATCGAGCACAGAAACGAAAGAGGAAAATCAAGATATCCAGCTTCACCTTTTCGAAAGCATAATGGGGTGCCTTGTAATCCTTCAGAAAGATCTCCTTAGGAGTCTCCTTAACGGACTCCTCCATCTTCATTGTACCTTCCCTTATAAGAGTATCGGCTGCTACCGAGCACTGATTCTACCAGGAAAAGGCCCCTGCGAGCAGAAATTAAGCAAGACTTGTTTAAACAAGACGATTCAGAGCGAAAAACAGTGGGCAAAAAGTTCAGGCAAACTCAAATCAACAATACAGCACTATACTCTCTAAGATCTTGCATACAAAAAGGGATTAACCAGGGTACATTTCAGTGGAATTGACCTACACTAAAAGACGATTGTTAAAAAGATGACATGGGAATCTGCTAAATCTTTATTCGGACCAACAGTCGCTCTTCACAGCTCATGTCTCAGTTGTGCAAAATTGGAAAAAATATTACCATGGAATGAAATCATAAATCTTAGTGCACATAACTGACCTTAACACCATTCAAAAGAGAATCAACCTTTCAAACTTGACCCACAAGTAACACTCCGTCCAACCCCTGCCTATTGAAAAGCGGGAAGCCTCTAAAATTTATATATAGCACACTCTAAGCATTCGCATGGTCGTGTGCTCCACTCTAATATTACCGGGAAATCACTTGCACTTAATCACCCCACACAGCACCACCGATCCATTTTCGAAGTTTTTCGTACTGTATTGATAGATGAAATTGCACCGGACGAGTGACGCGACATGAATCTATGAATTTGGTGCCGACGGATCCAATTTCTTTGTAGAAGTCATCTGATCGGCGACCGTGTCAATTAGTTCATGTTCAATTAAGTCGCCAAATGAATCTCAAGAGCTACATTACATTGAATCTCTACTAAACATAATATTACAAACCATTGGGACATAGACGCTGGACACAAGCAGGATGGAAGCGAAAACATGTTAACAAAACGACTTTTCAGTGATTCATAATTGAAATAATCATCATTTTGAACACACCCCCAAGGAATTTCTTTGAATTTCTCTTCTTCTTTGACGGATTCGAACACACGCGTTCATAAATTATAATATCAGTTTACATCCACACAAAATTCGCGACGCCTGATTTCTACGTACTCAAACTCAGACACTCTCAATGAAGTGGTCTACAAAAGAATTAATCTAGGAGCGGCTGCGTGTCAACCCTAACTGACAGTCTGCTGCCAAACAAATTCGTATAGTTTACAATCAAAAGTAAAATTCGGTTTCGCTCACAACTGGAAGCTCTGTCGCGCACTCATGTACTGCAGTGAAAATGAAAACTACACTACAGTTCACACAACGACTGCAGATAGGCTCATGCAAGACAACTGACACAGTGACTACGTTTCTGTACAAATGGAGGATTTAATCTGTCCTGTTATTATGATGGGACAAAACCCGTAAAAAAAATAAAACATTCCAAAGTGCGTTGATCTTCCAACACCTCGCACAATGCTGAAGTCAAATCGGACACACGAGAACGAAAGAGAATTGGTATTAAGAGATTTGAACTCCACTGATTATTCCGATAAACTAAACAGGTAATACACTAAGGACACCCCGTCAAACTAGGATACAATGCCGATTCAATGCTGTCAAGTTCCGACTGTCCAGACAACACCAACACGCTTGCATCTTTACCTACAGTTACAGGATCATGAAAATCCCTAATTAAAAGACCAAGCGCCTCAGAGGAATTCACGAAGCCAACCAATCGAGTATTCAGAGTGCAAAAAGGACACGGCAAGTAAGGAGAGACAACGCCAACCACAACTCGGGGGGGGGGGGGGGGTACCAGGGGGCAGAGAGAGAAAGACAGAGAGAGAGGTAGGATTTTAACACAAAAGTCGCGGGACATCTGATAAAATGGCACAACTAATTTGATAGTCCCTATTATACGCACTCCAGTACTCAAATTCGGCCAGGTTCAGGAGAACTGATCAATCACACCGTCCACTCAGTCGCAAGGAATATGAAACGGTACTCCTGCCATAAAGCAATTCAAACATCTACTTTTTTCACTCTCAAGGACGACTGGATCCAATCTTGACACGCAGGGCTCCCTCAATCCCAGCATGCCAACATATTTCATCGACGTTCTGCGGTCCATGCAACTCAATAGATCCCGAAGCATGCAATCCTGGCAAGAAATATACTGGATACTCAAACGCTCCAAACGCTGCCCACACTAATCCCGATTGGAATACCATCACCACAACCCCACCATCTTTTTTCCAATCTCTCTTTCTTTCTCTCTCCCTCGCTCTCTCTCCCGTTCTGTCGTCCCGGGGCGTGAATGAATGATCGAAAGCTGGAAATCCCCCGAGCGCCAACAGAAAAGAGAGAAAACAAAAAGGGGAACTCAAAGAATGTGAGTAGAGACTCACAGACAGTCTCTGGAGTTCCAGACCACACAGACAGAGAGCGCAGCAACACCAAGTGAGCCGATGATCGCAATCACCCTACGGACATGCTCCGCCTTCGGGGCACCACCGCCGATCCCCTGCCACCAAAGACTGCCTCAGACGAGGGAGGGCAGCAGAAGTAGTCACAGAAGCGGAAGAAAGGGTGGAGACAGGACTCGGTTAAAGTAGCAAAGCGGCGCCGCTATAGCACACCTCTCTCCCTGTAACCTACTGTACACTTCTGTTCCCACGCGGTTCTTATCTGGTGCATGAACATTCATGCTGCAACATCCACCTTCTCAAATTGGGCCGATAACCACCGCACCAGAGCCCCGCCGGTATTTATCACAGACCGAATGTCTGAATTCAAATTGATCAGTTAAGACTTTCCCAGGCGCACAAAACCACCATAGATTCCACCTTTACAACCGAATCAATTATTTTCTTCTTCTTCTTCTTCTTTTTATACTTAATTCTTCTGCTTCTTCTTCTTCTTCTTTTTATACTTAATTCTTCTGCTTCTTCTTCTTCTTCTTTTAATACTTAATTCTTCTGCTTCTTCTTCTTCTTCTTTAAATACTTAATTCTTCTGCTTCTTCTTCTTCTTCTTCTTCTTCTTTTTCTCTTTTTTCTTTTTCTTTTTTCTTTTCAATCGAGAACGAAATTCCATCAGTAATACACAAATTCCCCCCGGGGCTGCGATTTCAAGTCCCGCACGCCATGATGTCCACCACGCTGCACACATGGCTTTTCCGAAGCCCCCGACCTCCGCAAAGGTCACATTCTTTACCACTTTCTGGTTCGGGATGTTCGACGCAAAACAATTAAGGGAGGAGCTGTAGCACGTACTCCACGTTGATTGGCAGGATCGAGAGAGTGCCTTCCCTACCAGGTTGTGGATTGCGCTCTTGGCTTATCTACAATAGTAATTTTCAGCAATTTCACTACGCTTTGGAACTAATAGTGAGATTACCTTTTGCGGAGTGGATATTGCCACAGTCGTTGTGGCGCTGATGAGGCATGAGGCGTTGAAGTTCCACTCATGCCCGTCACCAGATCTTTCAGCTCAAGAACCTTCGCGCCACGCGATGTAGGGCCACGGAAGGAATTTCTGGAAGGCATAACCAAGATGTCGGCCACTCAGCTCTCTCCCTTGCATGAAAACTGCCGAGAGAGCTTCTTCAACACATAAGTTATCCCTTCCCTGATTCATTTCTATCGGTTTGCATCCCGAGAACGCGCTCGCTTTCCGCTTTCAAAAATCCAAACATAGAAGCAATGACAGAAAATTCGTGGCGAGTGGAGGACTTTGCAGAGCAAGCATGTCATCGTGCTGGCTGCTCCGCGTTTAGAAACCATGGTTGCTTGTTGTTTCCGAATGCTACGAGAAAACGACGAGGACGAGAGAGAAGGAAGAAGGGAGCAGCTACAACAAGCTACGCGAATAAAAAGAAGAAGAATCAGACGAAGCCATGTTTGACTACGAAGCCCTCTCCTCCGGCTTCTTGCCAACTTACCGGGAAAGTTAGCACCGATCTTCTGGAACCCTCTTTCAAATTTAAAAGAGGGCGCGGTGAAACACTACCTTTCCTCTATCTCAGTGGGGAACTCGTTCCCGAGCGTTTTGAACAACTCGAGCAAGAGGAAGATAAACATGTGCTCATTGGCCACTCCGTGCTACACACACTTTGTAAACAGTGCCTTTCTGAAGAAATCCCCTTCACACTATTTTGGGGCTGCTTTGTTTGGGTGCCAAATCTAGGGTTACTTGATGAATGAACGAGTTGCATGGTATGATGGAAAGATTACTTTATAAATAATCAAATAAACAAAAAATGGAACATATGGGTGCTTTATTTTAATTTGGGGCTTTTTAAGTTGTCCTCTCAAAATGTGACTTTGAAGGTACCAAACCCATAGAAACATTATAATACAAGAATAACATTGAGATTCCTATCTTTATGTGGCCTTTTCATGTAGATTTTTTTTTATTATTATCAGCTATTGAATTGTTTGCAATTTGAACTATTGGTCATAGTGTGCAATTTTATAAGATAGTTTTTAGTTATCAATTGATCAAGTTTATAAGATAATTTTTAGTTATCAATTGATTTAAAAAATAAATTTAAAATTGATAGATTTAATAAAATCTTAAATTAACAAGCTTTGTTTTTGTGAAGACAATACATAAGTATATTTTAATAAGAACAAGAGTGAAATTCAAAAAAATAAATTAAAAAATAAATAAATTATAAATAATTAGAAAAAATTTAAACTATAAAAAATTAGAATGCTTCATTTTTTTAATGTAACTTTATTTATGAGTGTCATGGATATACACATGTATTTTAGTAAATACCTATATGATTAGGTAGAAGCAGGTAAAAGTAGATAAAAGTGGATAATTTTATAATACCTTTTAGAAAAGCTTCTTAGAAGCTTTATAGATGTTTCTTTGACTTTACATATGTTTGTAGTTTATTCATAGATTAGAAACTTGGTCAACAAGTTAATCACATGTTTATAGTTTGCAAAACAAGGTAACTATGTGGCACACATATAGAAAACTTACCTTGCAAGTTAAGATATGTATCTTATAAAGTCAATACATTTTAGAGGTCCTATAGGACATTGCCAAGTAGTTCCTAGTTAAGAGTATATGTGGAGGCAAGAGTGAAGCCTTCTTCATTCTTGTCAATGCCTTTCTAGTCCTTAGTCTTATTTCAAGATTTTTTAGTCTTCTTCTCTTTGACAATGGCCATTCTAGTTTAATAATATATCATCTTTGAGTGACTTTCTAGTTCTTTTCAGTGTTATAAGAGTATATTGAGGATTTCTTTCTTCGAGATTCATGTCCTTGGCAATTTGACAAGAGTGCTAACTTATTATTTATGTCTTTTTTTAGAAGTGAATAGATTATCCCACTTCTATTGTTGTATTTTGAAAATTACAGACTATCCACCTTTAAACAAAAAATCTTATTTTCTAACACTGATCTTTTCTTTAAAAAGAGTGGATTAACCTTCTTTGTGGAAATTTTCATTTGATATTAGAGGTTGCAAATTACCTTCCTCTAATTTAACTTTTTGAATTTTTTTGAATTGTCTATAGAAGGAAAGATTATGGATATTATTTTTAGTAAAAATAAAAATAGATTTATAATTATTGGAGATCTTTATGAACTTGTTGACATTCTAAGAGTGGAAATTTTATGTATTTCTAATATGAATTATGAAAGTACTATGCCTATGCCTATGGAAGAAGTTTAGAGTTTACTACAAGAAGTTATGTAGTTAAAAGAAGTAAGTAGATTAGCCTTGCAATTAAATCTAGGAAGAATTGCTTCTACAAATATAACAAGGACAATGATTAGTATGCCTGAGAAGTTTGATGGAACAAGATCAAAATTTCAAAGATTTTTGCAATAAGTCAAGTTCTATCTAAGTCTGCATCATTTTTTATATCTAAATAGATTTACTCAAGTCGAATTTATAGGTGTACTTCTATCAAGAAGTGCTTCTTCTAAGTTTGCATCCTTAATAAAAAAAGATTCATGACTCCTTCATGATTTGAATTCATTCCTACAAATGTTTATAGCTACATTTAGAAAAAGTGATTAAGAAAGAGTAGCAAAGACTAAGTTCTTATCCTTATTCTAAGAATCATGGTTAGTCATCATATATGTTGTTGATTTTTAAAACCTCACTTGAGATGTCGACATGAGTGACAAAGCCCTTATCAATCAATTTTGATATGGATTGAAAGATAATATCAAAGATTTATTATTGATAATGCCAAAAATAAAAATCTTTGAAATAATTTATTACTCAAGCCATTGTATACAACAATAGATTATTTAAAAGACATTAAGAATAAAGATTTGGCTAGAGAGGCACAAATCAAATAATGACAGCAACTCCTTAGTTTTCAAAAACTTATTCATCAAGGCTAGAATTAATACAAACTAATACAATATGTTTTAAATTCCTTTTAAAGCAGAAAAAGACTCAACAACATCAAGAAGGCTTATGCTTATATTGTAGAGAAGCTAAACATACTCCTTAATATTTTCTAAAAAAACAACACAACCACAAAATGAGAAGCATGATTGCCAAAGAAGATGATGTATCGGAAAACGAGTTTCTCTAGCTACAATAGGAATTGTGCAGTTAGAATCTTGTATAATATCTAGTAAAGGACTTATTTTCTTTTCACATCCCTCACCTTGTTTTACAAAAGAAGTTTATTTAGGACCAAAAAATTACAAAGTCTTTACTTTATTAGATTTACGAGCCTTAGCCTATTTTATAGATAAAGATTTTGTTAAAAAACAAGAGATATCATTAATCAAAAAAACTAAATCTATACATGTAAAAATCATAGATGGTCATTTACTATTTTTTAAAGTTGTTATGCATTAGATTGTTCTTTTAGATGTAGTAATTAAAGATTATAATAGTATAGTAATATTTAACATAATAAGATCTCTATTAAATCTAATTATTTTAGAATTATCTTCATTAGAAAAGTATAATGTTTAGAGATAATGGATTTTTCATAACCTTAATTTTTTTTATAATTTAATCCAAAATTCCATTAGTCAAGTAAAAATACATAAGTCTAGTATATCCAAATCCTTAGTAATAGGTGCAAGAGCTTTTATGCATGTTGCAAAAGAAGGGTTATCTTTTGCTTTATATGCCATGCCCATTTCCAATGGCAAAAAGACGTCAAGTGGTATTCCTAGCCAATATTAAGATTTCTATGACGTTTTTGAAAGCTAGATCATAGATATTCTTCTAGAGCATCAATGTTATGATTGTTCCATCAATCTTTATGAAGAAGCTCAACCACCATTTGGACCAATCTATAGTCTATCAAAAAATGAGTTGGTTGTAGTCAAGGAATATATTAATGAAAACTTTGCTAACAATTTCACATGTCATTTTAAATCTCCAACCGAGGCTTCTATCTTATTTGTGAAGAAAAAAGATGGATCTTTGCAGATAAGTATCGACTATCAAGGATTCAAGAAGATCACCATTAAGAATAAGTATCTTCTACCTTTGATTTCAAAACTTCTTGATCAATTCTTTTAAGCAAAGATCTATACAAAAATAGATCTATGAGGAGCAAATAATTTGGCATGCATTAAAAAAAGAGATGAATAAAAAAAATATATTTCAAATTAGGTATATGTATTTTGAATATAATGTCATGTCTTTTGGACTCACAAATGCATCAGCTATTTTTTAACATTTAATGAATGATGTTTTTTTTGAGTTTCTTGATAATTTTGTCATTTTTT